TATATATATATATATATATATATATATATATATATATATATATATATATAATAATAATATATATATATATATATATATATATATATATATATATATATATATATATATATATATATATATATAATATATATATATGTAAGTATATATATACATCAATATATATATATGTATGTACGTGAGTTTGTGTGTGTGTAGACATATATATACATTTACATACACATGTACATGTACATATACATTTATACGCATATACGAGTTTACTGATCACAGTAAAACCTTTATATGCAAATGTCTACATGGACATGTATCTGTAAGAGAATATATTTGCTTTCGCTATTTTTTTTTCGCAGATTACACTTTTCACAGATAGTGAGTCATTTGATGTCTCGATTTGATGTTAAAGCGTATCTGCACACACATGTTTATGTACGTATAAGTGGCGTGCGTGTACTGTAGTCTCTTGCTGCCTCAATCCCCATAGTTAGTTCAAAATATGTACTGAGCACGCTGGTTGTGTGAAGATAGCTTCGGTTCACTAGTGCGTATTGATGCGTGTTTGCGCGACCTCGTCGTACGCAAGATAGTACAACATTCTCACAATAAGGCAGACTTCGATTTTTGTGGTTGAGTTGATCATATACTATATTCTAAGTGCGAAACAGTAGATCATATATTCTATATTTGGTGCATACATTTGAGTGTATTTGAAAGTGTTTGTTGCCGTTGAAGCCGATCCGCACATTGCTGCATTCCTGACCTGCCCCCCTTTCGAAATCGACAGCATCTGAGCACCGATAGTGCAGATAAAATGTATAGGGGATTATACTCCTATTCGTACTTCCGTCACGTAGGAACGAATGAGCACGTCATCCGAGGCTTATGTGACACTGTATTGTTTTACTACATTCCAGATACCTCGTAAATGTGATACAAGAAAACTGAGTCTACAATCACGCAACTAAGTATCGAGTTCTCCTTTTGCTAGATGGAAGTGCTGAAGGCAATTAAAGAGATTACTGATAACCTCAATGGCAAAATCGACGATCTACCCGAGTATTTCAACAAGCGAGTTGGGGTGTGGGAAAAGGTGACCCCCAAAACAGACCGCACCATCAAAGAGTCTAAAACCACCACCGACGAAGATAAAGACGGGACCAAGGAGCACAAGAATGTGAGCACTAAACTGGAGGAGTCTACCAGCAGCACCCCCTTTATCAACCCAGATTGCTATCAGGCGCTGTTGGCGATTGATGTAAAGTTCTACGTACAACTGCACAGGCTGCTACAGCAGGCGTATGACGCGGCGATCATCTCAGCCAACACTATCGCGCGGAACCATGATAAGCTCACCAATCCCAAGGGCTCGGGTGGTGGCGCACACCATATGTTCTGAGCGTATGACCTCGCCTGAAGTCAATCCGGTGCAAGGTTTCATGGGCATATGTCCGTGGCACATAGGAGGTACAATTAAGACTAGCCAGCGCCACCTGGCAAAGACGCACAAGTGGTAGAAACGAATTATATAAACGAGACCAGGCGAATTATCTTCCGTCGCTATGTGTAATGACTGGCATGGGGGTTAAAAAATAAATCTGCTTTCACCCTTTCCACACCACGTGACCCTTTTAGCGTACGTGTAACGCATCACGCTGATTCGGTCGTTGTATTATTGTCTTATTTGGGCGCAACGAAAAGCGTGGAGGCTTTTCTATCACCGGATCAATCCATTTTATAATGTTATAGAAGCGGTATGTTGCCTCTGTGACAGAACTGGGAATATTTGGCAACCTCCCGAGCAACTACCATGACAACAACTCCACGCTCAAAGCTCGTATCGATTAAGTATGCGAGTACGTCATCCATTGCGTGGTCAGAGACGTACTCACCGATCCCCCGCACCAGAATGCTGTGTGGGCGGTAGGGATAGAACTGTGAAAAGTATTTAGATAGCATATCTGATGAACATATGGAACATACAGGGTCATTCGAGTATACAACATACATGATTACATGATATGACTACAAGACAATCAGGTATGAAATTGGCGGGCCCCCGATACGGAAACCTCAGGCCAGCTGCTGTTTCATATTGTTGATGATGATATGAACATTTTAGAATTGATGCAATGGAATGGGAAAACTTCAAAAGTTTAGAGTAGTTATGAAGGATGAACAACCTATTCACAAACATCCAAATTCACACGGGAGCTCTGTTAAGTTCATTCCTGATTGTAACTCTGTACAAAACGCCGTCAGTGATTTGCATTTTCTCATACGCCACTGCACAAGATACCTACCTGCGCCGTGGAGGACAGCTGGTCGAGTGTGACCAGCAGTCCTGTGATGGGCTTTGTGCTAAGCCTGGGAGCTCCCTTGAAGCACACAACTGTATCAGGCATGCGCAAGCACCCATGAAGAAACTATTCACATTGCGATGCCCAGAACGACCTACAAGACAACATACTGTCCAGAACCACCTAAAAGACAAGGTAAGTTGGGAACATGCGCAAGCACCCATGAAAAAACTATTCAATATTGCGATGTCCAGAACGATCTAAAAGACAACATAAGTTGAGCCCGGCAATAGCTTCTCAAACGATGCCTGCGCCTAATTCAATAACATTTAAAGACCGTGGTAGTCTGGATAAGATGTTAAAAGGTGTGTAGAAAGATGGCAGAGTGATCGTATAGATGCATCGACACCAGCCACATGCGATGCTGACTCCCTCTGCAGCGCGTGTACTTATATTTAACATTAGTATTGTATGCACAAGAGATAGGCGTGCCATCGTTGAAATGCCCCTTTCCTGTCACGAGCGTGATTCGATTTGGACTATTTTTAACTCGCTGCTAGGTATAAGGCTCAACCAGCAAACAACCGTCGTATAGTCGAGTACGAGTCACACCAGCCAATGAAGAAGTGTAAGTGTTCGGGGTCAACACACCAAGTCTGAGTCATTGCCTGCGCTTGAAGCCCCGCAGGCCGATGAGTATCCCACACGAAACACTACGAACGTTTTGTAATTTCAATTCACCAAGCGCGGGACCAATCAAATACATCATACCCCTTCTAATCATAAGGGTATGATTATACGAAGTGGTGTGAGGAACAAGTAACAGTCGATGTGGGGGTATGTGAATAGTGTACTGTCGCCCATGTGCTGCAGCGAACATGTACGTCAATATAAAAAGAGAGCGTACCAACATGTGTGTTATGTATATCTGAAACATTGCATTGGAAAGGTTAGCCATATCCATCGTGCGCTGGCGACTATTAACCACTTTGCAAATGCTATGTATATATTTCTATATAGAATAGACTGCTCTGATCGCTCACTGCGGTCGGAGGTTTAGCCTCTGCTGACCCTCCTCCGCCGAATTCATCCATAATCATACGCAGTTTTCTGCCGAATTAGTGACAGGAATTGTCTATTCGAATTGGCAGTGTTGCATGTAAAAATAATGGCTAGTGGCCTTGAACGCACCCGGGGTGGTACTGCTCGTTTATAATATTTCACACATGCTTTCTCCGCCGACGAAAATGCATGGCAGCAACCAGGTGCAAAGGGCATCACTATATAACTCCGTTGATCGTTATTTTACAGTACGAATCGTAGACGAACGATGTCACTGATGCCGTGTTGCATAGTTATATATTACTTGATCAGTTTTTTTGTAGTCATTTTGGACAAGCCCCAAATTTTCTGTCGTGTGTTGCAAAGAAACTCATGGAGAAAAAGTACATCGGCTTTTCTTTAATGGTTGTACAACACGTATCCAATTTTGGGTATGTACGATCATAGACAGAGATACCTACCAGTTCTGCCCACGGGGTTCCATAATAAATCTTATCAGGGCTGAATGAAATAATTAATCGTACGAGACTTATTTAGATATTTGTTTAAAAAAAATTTGTAACCCAAATCGCGTTTCCCGACCCAAAAATAAAGGATCAATGACATAGGGCATCCGATCGTGTTTCATTTCTATGAAAGAAAACCGCGATGATCACAATGGGCAATCTAGGTGTGCTACCAGATCGCATGTACCTAGAGGGCTCTCCACAACAAAGCTATCTAAAAGTCAGCTTCAAATGTGTGGAGCTGACTAGAACTGCACCTCTTCATTGCTTCATCCAGATTAAATAATACTTCAAAGCTTTCGGACCAAATAACTAGTACATCAAAGCTTTCGGACCCGTTTTAGCGGTCCTCAGGGTGTGTAGTAGATGGCGGCATTGGGTTTCTTGAGGGCGACAAACCTGTAACGTTCACATGTAAATGAAGGGCATGAGTGGCATGTAACTGATCTCGATAGAGTTTTGCACCGATGATTAAAGGCTCGATCAATGATGCAGATACTGTGACGAGAGAGTCGTTTGAAGGTCCAAGCGGCCAATTGTACACAAACGGCTAGCACGTGAGGGCTCTCGATACATTCACAGAAATAAAGGGAGACGTATCATGAATAAAAGTAAAACAGGTCTGGCTTCAATACAGCCCCGTTAGGAGGTCACAGGCTTTGACGCAGAGGCAGGAACACGCACCTGGAAACACCGCTGGCGTGTGGCTCTGGGTCTCTCTGATAGGTCAGATTCATTGGCGTGCCTTCTTTCTTGGCATCGCGAGACAAGTTGAGTGTCACCGTCTGGACAAACTCAACCTGGGAAGACAAGGAAGCGGCGCTTATTAATATACATGTGGCAGAAGTTTCATTGAAGTATATATCTGCTGCTTAGAGCTCAGATCTCTATCCAGGAGTGTGTTTGAGGGTTTGTCGTATTCAATTTGTACCTACACGTTTCATATACCATATGCCTGCGCATGTGTCATTGCACCCAGCATATGGTGAACTTTCACACATAGCCTAGAAGAGATGTGCACATCATGTCCGATAGCGCATATGAGACCCATATACGCAAGGTAGATATGTCTCTAATGCGTTGGTACTCTTACACTACCACTACTATCCGTACAAATACATCGATCAAACAAATAACAGGATATGATTGGTTTCTTAGGTACACGCTGATTTCTGCAGACGACTATGGATCTGATATCGTGCAATTGACCTTCATGGCCCACACAGACGCCCACATACAAACATGTAAACCTGTGCATGCGACTGTGGACGCCCTCGAGCTACACATGACCTACCGGAAGCGCTTTACCATGCAGAACCGTGTAGATCTGCTGCAGCATGGTTACAAACTCGGCTACTTTGTTGTTACCGTCCACACTCAGATTCAACAACAGGTCTCGCTCAGGTGGCGTCATGTGTACTATCACGAAGGTGTCCTCGTGCGGTGATAGCGAAACGCTCTTTATCGATGCGACGGGGATGGGCTGTGGGGAGTTGTAGTCAGACTTGGGAGTGAGCCCGACATGACAAGACGTACCATGAAGGACTTTGGGTTTAGTATTTAGTGTTTAGGGTTTTAGGTTTTGGTGTGCCACACATTGGAAGTAGACAGTGCCTTGTGTGTGTGTGTGTATGTGCGGTGTGTCCACAGTGACTACGCAGTTGGGTTATGCACGTGTGCAATGTCATCGCAGCTGAGGCACCTGCCTATACGTATATGCGCTAACCAATAATCGCACAGCGTAATCGACGAAAGCGACGCGTTTTAAGCCGGGCTTGATGCACTGTGTGGCCATACCTTTTTGATCTGTTTGTACTTCTTGTGGTCGTACTTGTAGAAGTGTTCCGATGTCACCATCAAGGCCACATCCTTTGGTTTGTAGTATTTGTTGATCTTGGTCACGACATCGGAGAAGATCACCACACTCTCACCCGCCTGCAGTGATACAAGGTATGGCAACGGTAGGTTCAGAGTCCTATCAATTGTGATGTGGTGACTCTATCAGCGCAACGAATATGAAGCCTGATGCGTATGTAGACACATAATAATTTACCTTAAATTGAAATAAATAATAACATCCCCATCAGCGTGCTGTGTCAATTTGCAATTCCTCATCACTTGCACAAACACTATTGAACAGTGCATGCGCCTTTCCTGAACCCCGTTGAGGGGTAAGTACTATGCAGTGGCCGTTACAAACCGAGATGTTCGCCTACCAGTAAATTCGGTCATGAGACCCAATTCTGAATACAAACCTTGGGCTCGGTGACCAGTATCACTTACAACAGTATGTTTGCGTACTATACACTACACAGCCATATCTAAAAGATTGACACACATCCACCCTGGCACGGTACAGTGGCGTTGAACGGCATCTGCAGATAATTGTTATACCAGGCCGGGCCGATAAGGTCACACATCGAATGCATATAGAATACCATACACCATACACTGTGAAGCGGATCTGAAACAGTGCATGAAGCTCATCGCTTGTAGGCAAACCACCGCAGAGCACCGTCAGTCTGGGCCTCACTAAGACACTCATGAGTATCAAAGGCAACGCAGAGCGTACCATAAAGGTGTACCTTAGGGTTTACCAAGAGAACTCTAAAACTCACACCCGACAATGACTACGACACCTTGGCATATTTATAGTAGGATACCCTAAACACTACACCCCAAACGCTGAAACACGAGGAAAATAGTCAGAATCTAAGTCATCCATGAGTTATAAAGTTGCGTGCGCTTTGAGCAGAGCAGGATCGTCGTTGGTGCAGAATCTGGCACACGCACTTTCCCTCGTTTCCGCGACAATCGCACCAAACACACAGCCAAATCATGCATGCGTGCACACATACTACCGGTCAAAAACTTCGCTACACAGAGTAGAACATATACACATACTACAGGTCAAAACATGCGCTATCAAAGACTAGAACTAGAAACATCAGACCATCCCACACACTTTCTGCAAAGCTTCGCTACACAGAGTAGAACATATACACATACTGCAGGTCAAAACATGCGCTATCACAGACTAAAACTAGAAACATCAGACCATCCCACACACCTTCTGCAAAGCTTCGCTATACAGAGTAGAACATATACACATACTGCAGGTCAAAACATTCGCTATCGCAGACTAGAACCAGATACAGAGGACCATCCCACACACCTTTTGTAACAGCGTATGCTCAGCCAGACGATACGCCGCGGCGTCCGCAAAGTACTTGTCTTGACTCATGTAGTTGCCCACGTACTCGCTGCATTGTGGTGATTGAGGGTGTGTTGAGAAGTGCACCACCAGCATATACAAAGAACAGATGGCTATAGGTGTTTCAAGAGGTTTAGGGTTTTGGGGTTTATTAGAGGGTGTATTGTGAAGTGCACCACCAACCCATACTAAGCACACATGATCTTAAGTGATAGGGGGTTTAGAGTTTAGAGTTTATTACATGGAAGTGTTTCAAAAGGGTATTCAACACATTCGGGTGAGTATCCTAGTGAACAACATGGCTTGTTGTCGGGTAACACGGCGGGGTTAGTTAAACCCCTAAACCCTAAAACCCTAAAACAATTAGAGCTATAGATGCGGGCCTGTTGTCGTACATGCGAGTGTTGGTTTTTATAGTTCGTGGCAATTATCTCCTTACACACGTGTTCATGATAGCGTATGTCTGCCTATGCTTGTCCGTTTTTATTCACGTATGTTTGTCTGTTATAAACAACGAATGTTTGTCCTAAGTATATATATGTATATATATATATGCAAATATATATATATACATACATATATATATATATATATATTATATTACTATATATGTATATATATATGTATATATATTACTATTA